TTAAGGGACCAAAAATGTGCAACTCACTAAAGTTGAGGGACCAAATCTAGCATTTAACCTTTTCAAATCACAAGGGGTGAGAAAATGAGGATGGATCTAAGGTTAACAAAAGAATACAAGTCTCTTTTTTTACACAAAGACTATAAACAAGCAAAGAGAGTACACAAAGAGAGTTCAAATATTCTCTACCTAATATTAAAAAATCTCCAATCATAGATTTTGAAAGCAATCAAGGCAAATTGATTTAGGGGTTATTTAGGCGAATCTCAATAATTTTTTCATAGTGAGAGTCACTTTCTAGAATTTTTATTTGTATTTGCTTTGAAAAGGTGGACAATTCCTTTTGTTATTAATCTATGTTTGCTTATCAATTTAAAATTTTTTTTTCTTTTTTTTGCATTTTCAATGTCATGTGGTCGTGTGGTCCAATGCTCATCATTTATTTTCAAATGTAGAAACTCCATTAGCCTCACATACTTCTTAAATTATGTGTTTATGTTTGTTGTCCATTTTTTCATTTTTATTTGCATGTCTATATATATTTTTTGTTTACAGCAATGGTTGAATATACTGGAGTAATAACTATTTATCATGGGGGAACTTTTGAGCTTAATCCACCCATTGATTGTGTGATTGTAAGTTTTCTTCATTTGGTATGCATGAGGATGTGTAGCAGAAATATTTAATATGGTGCATGGGTAAGGATATGAAAATATTTATGCCAATTCCATTCATTACAAGTTCCCTCTTGTTAAATTAGATGAATTGAAGTCACTTACCCGTCTGCCTTGCATTGATAACATTATTAGTATCATTTGGAAACTTATGTAGTGGAAGAATATATTGACCATGACAATGGGGGTCCACATTTTATTGATACGTTAGTTGCTGATATGCATGGGTTTGGTACGGATATTAATGAGAAAGTAAATGAAGAAGATTCAAGAATCATTACCCAAGATGCAAATGAAATTGTTGCACTTGTAGAATACTATTTTGATTTCGTTACTCATGCCTTTACAATAACTCTACTAATAAAAAGAAAAGTGACTCAAAGTTGGAAGATGATTTTGCAAACCTTGTTGGAACTAATAGAGATAATGAGGAATAAATTGTTATTTTAAATAAAGCAAAATCATTATTAATAACTAAAGGAGATATAAATCTATTTGAGCATACATATGAGAAATAAATTGTTGTTGAGAAGCATGGAAGTTAATAGCAGCAAGTATGTAATGGGGCAATTTCAAATCCTTCTATTGATGGAGCAACTTTCAATATTTATAAAGTGGATAGGAGAGGGTGAGGGAGAAAAGTATAGTTGTTGTTAGTAAGAGATACAAGACACTTAACATTATTAAGGCTACTATTAAGGGTCAAGTTACCTTTGCATTCTCTGACTATGTATTACAGTCTCAATTATCTATTGACAATCATCAACATTTTGATAGGGAAGATAGAGGTAATGATGGGAGAAATGATGATGATCCAACCTACTTGTCCTCAAATCCTCCTTTAAAGAGGAAGATGAATTTCATGTGGCAATTCATCCTCATTGAAAGGAAACAACTAACATGTACTTAAATCTAGAGTGGCAAAGTCCTTGATTTGAAGTGGGAATGAGATTTACAACTTCAAATCAATTTGGGGATGCCACTAGAAGGCATTCAATTGTGAAAAGATATAAACTAAGGCCTATAAAAAAATGAGCCCCACATATTCACATACCGCTATATAGGTGCAAGTTGTGAATGGTAAGTTCTTGCATCAATAGATAATAAAGCTAAATGCATTTAAGTAAAGACATACAAAAGAAAGCATAGCTGTTTCCAAACAAGTAAAATTTTTGCCATGAGAATGCTTGAACTTCCAAAGTTTTAGAAGATAAGGATTAAGGAAACTCCTTTTATAAGGTGCAAGTTTATGATAGAATACACGTGTAGAGTTAAAGGTGGTTATGCATTTTGACAAATGTTTAAGGGTGAAAAGAATGCTCATGAAAAAGCTGTAAGGCAATTTTAAAGATGAGAATGCAATGCTACCTAGTTATGCAACTTATTTGTCAAGCCTTAATCCTAGTAAGACAATTGGAATTGTTACAAATATGAATGAAAATGGTGAATTTGTCATTAAAAGAATATATGCCTACTTGGGGATTGTGAAAGAAAATGGGGAAAATGGATGTAGAGATGTGTTGGGGTGGATGTTTGTTTTTTGAAAGAAGTCTGCAAAAATATTCTGTTATCTATTCTTGGTCAAGATGGAAACAGTCACATGTACCCTATAGCTTGGGCCATTGTTGAGGAAGGAAACATGGATTCATGGGAGTGGTTTTTGGTTGTTAAGAAAAATTTAGACTTAGTAGTAAAAACTTTGCCTTAATATTTGATGGATATATGATAAGTTTTTGTTGACAATAAACTTACTATTTTTTTTTTTTTTTTTTTTTGTTAATTTGATTAGGCATTAATCATTTTTCTTTTATATTTATAAGGAATTAAACATGCTTAAGATGTTGTACTTCCTCATTCAAAGCATATGTATTGTGCTAATCATATCTACTATAATTTGGCTAAGAAAAGCAGCGTTAATAGGAGTGATTAGTTCAAAATTACATTTTAAAAATGCACAAAATCTCCATTTCTAAAAATTTAGAGAGGCAATACGGTGAAACTAAAGGTAGTATTAGAGGAAAGTTATGCTTAGCTTATGGAGAAGGATAATAAGTTCTAGTTTAGAGCATTTTTTCAATATCATTCAAAATGTGATTTTGTTGATAATAACATGTTAGAAACTTTTAACTCATAGACTCTTAAACCACAATGTAAAGCACCAATTAGCATGATTAGAGAGATGATAGAGATGTGCACTAAACAACATAAGGATAAAAAGTTCAATGTTGCTAGATGGCCAGCTGGTGTATCCCTTAAAGCTAGAGGTAACTTAAACTTTGTACAGACCTTTCCTATGCATGTGGTATGTTATGGCTTGAAGAAATTAAAATTGGGATTTATGATAAGCTTCAATCATTTACTCATATGGTCAATTTTCTAGAAAGAAGATGCACTTGTAGAGTTTACAGTAAAGCATTAGTGTTCCTTGCTCACATGCGTTGCATGCCACTAGTTATCAAGAATGGAATTAGGATAACTTTATTGAAGTTAGTTTAAAAAGGGGATAAGTACTTCATAGCTTATGGCCAACCATTGGAATGTAGTAGAGGTGAGGAAGTGTGTGAAGGTTATTTGATGGGGAAAAGCTACTCTCACCATTTATGAAGAGAATATGTGAAATGCTAGTTTTAAGCCTAAAAAGGTTAAAAAAGGAAAGAAGTTCATAATTTCAAAGAAGGGAACAATTGTTGTACATTGTAAGATTTATAAGGGAGAAGGCCGTAACAAGAAAAAATATACAACGAAGGAAAAAGAAGAATATACCCAATTTGTTAAGCAAAGTCAAGGGAGAATTAGTACAACAAGCTCTGCCAATGCTAAGAAGTAATAATTTTTCATTTATTAAATTAATAATAATTTATTATGTGACTAATAAAAAAATTTTATTCACAAAAAAAATAAAGAAAAGTAATAATGATGAAAGTTAAACTATAGATAATATAACAAAAAACTCTCCCAGTGTTGTAAGCCATTAGATATTTTGAATTAGTATTAAAATAAAAAAATCTAGTTTTTTCTTTTTCATTCAAGCCTATTTAAATATGGTGTTGGTTGGTATTAAATTGAAGTTGTGGTTGGTAAAAATATTGTAATTATTTCATCTTTATAAGCAAATATAAGAGGAGAAATTATGAAATAGAACAATGAGTAAATACTTCCTAGATTTGCAAAAAAAGATAAAAATAAAAAATAAAAAAATAAAAAAATAAAACTAAGGAATAGAGGGCAAATACTTCACAAGTTGCAAAAAAAGGGAAAAAAACTAAAGAATAAGTGGTAAAGAAACAAGGTTGAATAGCACTAGAAAAAGATGATTTTGGACAAGACAAGACATGATATTTTGTTGCTGTTGTTAGGAAAAGATGATTATATTATATTCTTATGTTTTTCTTTTATTAGGAAAGGATGATGATAATTTGTCATGGTCATATAGGCAATTTGTGACAATAAACATGGAATGAGACATGTTGCCTTATTTTTTGTGAGCTAATGTTCATTGCTATAATTCATGTAATCATCAAAATCAATTGGATTTAAACAAAAGTACATTTCCATTGCCAATTTGACCAATATAAGGTACTATATGTTTTTATTCTTTGGCAAGCAAATTTAACACCTAATTTTTCATTACAAATTTTATCATTACAAAGAATAAGATTGCCAGCCAGTAAACAAGAGACAACAACTACACCCAAGTTGCGAAAGGCCTTCTTGTCAATCTTTTTCATAGGAACATCCATTTTCTTCTCCAAATTATAAATTGCCTCTAAATGCTTATCCACATCCAACATTTCCTTTCCATGCCTCCAAACCGATCCTCCAAATGCTTAACCATACTCACCATTTTTTGCTCCATTCTACCAAAATTATCTTACAAATCCTTCCACGTTTCATTTTTTTTTTTTTTGTTCCCATAACTACCACTTTGTACTCCGAAGTAGCCAACTCATCTTTTATTATTTTTTTTCCATAGCCACCTACTTATTCTCTAAACTATGAATTTGATTTTACAATCTAAGCATTGTACTCTTCAATATCAATGTTATAATTGTAGGTTTCAAAATGCAATTTTCTTTTCTATTGAACTTAGACACCTAAGTCCATAAATGATCTCTCTCATGCATTAGTGTACTTTTCCTATGTTAATTGTAGTATAACTTCAACTGTCATCTTATTAAATACAAGGTCATACTAGATAAAGAAATCATAGTTCTTCTACAAATTTAATTCAAATATTTATAGTAAATACAACCCACAACCTAAATCAAATTAAAATCGTAGTTAACCTTACTTTCTCCTTATACTTTGAGCACCCAAAAAAATCTTCTTATGGTGTTCGTTTCCTTCTAACAGATCCGTCATGGAGCAAAATACCTACACTTGTAGGTCCATGAAGGTCCTTCACACTCCTACCCAATATTCCCTCCATCCTCAAAATATGGCAATGTGACTAGAATTAAGAGCTCCATGAAGAAGCCATGGTTGATGAACAAGAGTTCTTGCTAATAATAAGTTTAAATTTTTTATATAAAGAAGAACAGTACAACTTAAACAAACCCTAGATCCCTAGTTTTATTTGACTGAACAATTAAAGGTATAAAAGTAAATAACAACGTTACAACAGTTGGATGATATAGAGTCCATTGCATTGTCCAACAAAGCGTACATTTCAACCAAAAAAATCTAGGTCAAACGTGGGGGTCGTCATGATAGGCCAAAACATTAGGTTTAAATGGATTGATAACATCATGTTAAACAAAAGGGCTATTTTGCCGCCTAAGACAAGTTGGAGGGTTCCTTTGTGTGTGAATTGACTTAAGGAGTTGTTGCCACCATTTGACTAGTTAAGGGGCTAATTTGCATGTTTTTCCAGTCTAGACATTATACTTCCACAATCCTTCAAAGCCTCCCTAGTTAAGATATTAAATCTATTTTTTGGGCCTGTATTCTTCTTGGACGTTTTCCGACACAAATATACACGCATATAGATAGTATTGAGTCTTGAATCTTTCTTCTTTTTTTTTAGTCCTATAATCCAAATGTCGTTTTTGTCTAGGCTTGAGGCTCTGTATTTTAGTCCAACGCCAACAAGCATTTAAAATAATAATGTTTTCCTTGGATTATAGAACTAAAGAAAATTAAGAATGCATTTCATATAGTGAGTTTTGGAGGTTCAAGTGTGTTACAACAGGACTTTCAAATGAAAACCAATCAGTTTCAGTTTACATGACATCTCTGCTAGTGTTTGTGTTGGATATACCGTATGCTTCTGTTTCCTCAAAAATCCTCTAGTGGCCTCGCA